AACTAAATGAGTTAGAACAGATTTGTCGAATGTAAGATGGAAGGTTGTGAGAATGAGGCGAGCTATAACAGATTGGTTGATGGTCAAATGGTAAATGGTATAGGCCAGATGAGGAGACATTAAGGTCCATACAGCTGGAGTAAAGTTCAAAGCCTGTACTCATAAAAGCAGATTAAGTTAAATCTTGCTCACCTAACTCCACAGATGTGTACATCAGTGGAGTGCCAAGTGATTTTCATAACTAGTCAAAGAATTATGGTAGCATGTGCAGGTGGAAGAGGTTGATATCTAGCGTTTCATAAATCTTGTAACCTCTAGCTCACTTCATTGCGATGTGTTTTAACCTGGACTAAAGTTAGTACACCAAGAACATGTATCTTCAGTAGATATTAAGTATGTTTATTGACCAGTACGGTGTATTGACCAGTACGGTGTACTGACCAGTACAGTGTGTTGACCAGTAAGATATTAGGTCAAAATGTCATAATTTTCATTTTCACATTTTCTATTTCAGTTATTAAATTTAATTTTTACATATTTATAATTGTGTAGGTTATACGCCCCCCCCCCCCCCCAACTCTCTTTTGGGTCAATGTAGTGAAATAAGGCCAAGTTTGTTTTAGTTGGAACTCGATCTTATTTAAAATATTGACTTGCATTCATGCATTTTCACCATTTGCAAATTTAAATGTAGCTGAGATTGCTGATCTGAAATGCAGAAAAAGATGCATTTTGAAACGTGTTTAAAAAAAACACATACTCTCTGATAACACACAAGCACACAATATGTGTGTGATAGCCTTGTAGAGTGGGAAAGGTATGAATGCAAGACTCTAAAATTAAATTTTGGATCCACACATTTTATCAGTGTTTAATTTTCCTGATTCTAGTTAAAAAGTGGTTTTCTGAACGCAGCCAAATTCTCTCTGTCCTTTTTTTTCTCTCCTCACCACCCCCCTCTCTCTTCCTCTCTCTCTCTCTCTCTATCTTTCTCTCCCTCTCCCACTTTTTCTCCCATCTCACTCTATAAGGCTTCCCACTTTCCCTCAATCCCCCAAGTGTCTCGTCACCTTCACCTTGAGTTTGATAGGAGGGGTAGCGGTCTCTTAACCGACCAATTTACTGCAGGAGTACCCTACTAATGCAGCCGAACGGTTACAAGCTGCCGATTGATACATGTATTGCAGCTCCCTAGCGGGGGCCAGGCCATGAGCTTTTTACTAAGGATATGTTTAGAAGGCTACAACTTGTTTGGCTTTGGTCTGTTGCTCAAGAAATATTGATAGTATGACTTAGCAACTTGCTTTTAATGTACATGTAGGTGGATTTATTTTATCGTAGAAGCTTGCAAGAATGATCAAAAATTAAAATCAGCGAAGACAGATTCTATCAATAAAGTAGAAAGCACTTTCCTTGCTTTGATGTGATTTTCTTGTCTTGATTTGATTTTCATCGTGCAAATGTCTGTGACTTGTGGTATTTTGCTTTATACACAAGACTTCATCTAATGTGTATCTTTCTGTGGTGAGTAGTTACCATATGTTGATGTGTACTCTACTAAGAATTTGCTAGACACTATCAACATATTGAATCCTGAGATAAAATTTGGTTTTCAAGTAGGAATATATATTCTTTCAAAGCTCATTGAAGTTGAAGTTTGTAGTATCTTTTCTGAACAGCACCAGAGATAAATTTAGTATTATGAGATAAAAGAGGATGTATTATAGTGCGCATTAGCATTAGGTTCATGTGAACATCACCTGATGACTAAGAAGGCTCGTGCAAGTGAACTTGGCTTGAGTAGATATTTGAGTAAGTGTAGCAGAACAAACCATCACCCCCTTCAACAATTTGGAGATTTGAAGTTCAAAAAGCTCCAGTCTGATTGAGAGCACATGTGTGCTTGTTATTGTATTTAGGTAAATGGTTGGGAAGTTTTTCTCTTGGATCTTCAGGTGTTGAGAAAAGGTTTTAAGAAGAATTAGGAGAAAGGAACTCCAAGCAAATTGAATTTGATGATATGTGAACCTGGATAGGATGAAAATGAAAGTCATGCCCAACCCCCTTTGGTGTAATACGTTATCTACCTTCAAAAATCATGTATGAGAGTATTGTCATTTCAATGTTCCATTTCAACATCTACTTTAGACAGTATAGTCTTATAGAGAAGGTTGAGTTATATGGGAAGAGGTGACAAATAATTTGTGAGTGTTATCATTGCATTATGCAAGTGTGGAAGAACACCAGATCAAAAATGTTCCCTGAAAAGCATGGCTCTTCAAATGCCTTATTATTCTAAATATGGCATGTAACAGTAACAGTAACATGTAACATTTTGATGATCCCAAAACCTTGCAGTACACACCAATAATTAAATGCTAGATGATCAACCTTTTCTGATTGACTCCACTCTGTTTCTTTCACAATGCAATCGCATGACCAGAACTCAACTTTATCTTTATGTATACATGTAAGCATTACAGCTTTAAGTATAAGCTTTATAGTTGTATTCTTTGTAAACATTGCAAACCTTCACATTATTAAAACAGGCATAGTCTTAATGAAATGCAAAATGAACACCATTATAGAGAAATAGAGGCATGTCTACCATATTGTAATATGTTGGTACTCTCACCCCGGTTTAAGAATTCAGGATACTTTGCAAATTATTTTAATTGTTTTTTCATTGCAAACTTGATATGATTTTCTTTTGAGATCTGAGTAGAAATAGATCAGTAGCAGTTCAGGTGGGGGGGGGGGGGGGGGGGCTCAATCTGTACCCAATTTTTAATGTATTCATTTTCAAGGCCCTCCCCTAAATATTTCTTGATTGTAAATAAATGTAAGAATGGCACATGTAAAGATGTTTTCACAAGAACATCCATTCCATTTGTGGGAAATATGAATAATCTGAACAAAATATCATGGTTATATCACTACAATGTCTGTGGTATTCAGATGTAGGACTCCTTGCAATCAAGTTTCAACTCCTCCCAAAAGGCAAAACCTTGGCTGTAAAACCAAATAGCTATCATAGTGAAACAAGATGTAAATGTCAAATTTGACCTACTTTCCTCAAAAATTGGGCCATTGGACCAAAGAATCTCTCTTTTTATTTGTATTCAAATTAGGGGAGGGGGTTAAAGAAAAAAGTAAAGAGAGCTGTTTATGAAATCCACTGTTTTAATGAGTTTGTTCACACGGATGTTTACTACAATAGTGCTATACACATTAATGTATCGCATGCTACAGAAAGACACAAAGTATGTCATTATCTGTCCTCTTCAAGTTTCATGGTCCCGATACAAAGTTCACCTCGTATCACCTCAGCTCATCTCTTTCTCTTCGTTCTCTTTTCTCTTATCTCTTTTCTCTCTCTCTCTCTCTCTCTCTCTCTCTCATTCTCTCTCTCTCTCTCTCTTTCTCTCTCTCTCTTTCTCTCTCTCTCTTTCTCTCTCTCTCTCATTCTTTATATATATATCTCACTCCATTTATAGTCCAGAGATTAAGAATCGTGTTAGGTGTCCAATAGGGTATTACAGCAGGATTGTAAGGGCCTTCAAACATTGGCCGTATATATTAGCTCCTGCTCAGTGTCCGTTTCAACAGGTAGCAAGTAAGACGAGTGACAGAACCCAGTATGCCTTACACTAGTTAGCATATTCATGCTGGGTTAGTGTGAGCAAGATTAGAATTGCGCATTCCCTTATTTGCCGGCGAGTTTATGGAATGATGTTCATTGGGAATAGGGTTGGCGATCACTCAAAAAATGGATGCATTTGAGGAGACTGAGAAGTTACTTGTGAGATGCTGCCAATCTAGATACCAACTAGCTGCCAAGCTATTCTCGTACACACTTTATTAAACCTAGTACCATCTCTAGGCCTATGTTTTTCAGTGTCTTTATGTTAGCAAGGTGTCACATTTTAATATCTTTATGTGTAGGTCTACATTTCGTCGCTGTTTTCACGAAGTGACGGTAGTGGAAAAAAATTGCATTCACTTTGCGTTACGATTTTCCTCACTACCGTCACTTCGTGAAAATAGGGACGATTTATTGTGTGTGTTTCACTTGTGTTTGTAGTTTATGATACGAATCAAAGTCAATGCATTCCAGTGCATATCAGTAACATAATCATCCATTGACCAAGGGAAGCTTGTAGAAGGAGCTATGTATAGATTGATGTTAAACTTGGTAGTTAAAACATCAAACAGGCACTATAGTTCTCAAAACTCAAGTAAATATCCTTTCTGATTCAGAGCAGACAGTTTAATCCTTCTTGCCTTCATTTTCCCTATCTCACCCACCCTTCACTCCACCTAACCCCTTGGCCTGTGCGGCTTGCCACACGCATAAGAAAGAAGTCACCAGCATAAAAGGTTAAGAGTGCTGATGATTGAATAGTAGTCTCTCGTTCCCTTTCCCTGTGGATTAACAAAGAGAAGAGAAGATGAAGTAGAAAAAGAGCGCAATGAAAGAACCTTTCATTATCTAGATGGTCTACCAATCCAATGGTTATTGCATTCTCTACTCTCAGATTTATTGCAAAAGTACAGTTTCTTCCTTCAAAATAAAGCCCAAAAGTAAGATGTTGCAGATGAAATCTAGGTTAATAGTTTTGTAGTTTCTGCGGGCGTTGAAAGTATCTTGAAATAACTTCTCATGCTTTGCTGGTTGCTTTCTAATCTCTCTCCCTGTTTTTTGTGTTTTAGATCTTTAGGATGAATTGATACTCAATGATAGATTTTTATATTTTCTTACAACACATTTTGTTAAAATGAGAGGATTGTAAATGCTTCCATGTACATCTACTGTAGCCACAGTGGTTTAACAATGAAAATTAGGAGCAATATTGTGGTATAAATACCTTTTTGTTTTATGAAATGTAATATCTATACTCTTTCTATTAATATTAAAACCAAGTTATGATTATCTGCTTCTGATATTTATTATCCAAATATTTACCTTTATCTACTATCATTGTTCTTGTATTACCCAGGATGCTCCAGCAGCTGTATCATTAGGTCTACGCATGGAGGAGATGATATTCAACCTTGCAGACATGCATTTGTTTTTCAATGACTTAGAGGTAAGAGAGTATTCCAGTTTATTTAAATAATTAACAAAGCCCTTTGGAAAAGCAAAAGGATGTTGTGCATCATATGAGAATGGAATATCCTATTAATTGTAATTAACAGGGTCATTATTTGAGATGGGATCTCTTCATTCTCTAGATTGTACAAAGACTGAGGGGAAATATGAATAGTAACAGAAAGCATTAGGGGGTGGGGGGGGGGGGGGTATGACCACCTGAAAGGATTAGTCCTTTTGGAGATAGAAAGATTATTCTGTTTGTTAAACCACTAACACAGGTTTTATTGAAATGATTCATGGACATTTAAAGGATGCAATGCAAGTGGTAAGGAAAAACCTCAAAACAAATAAGTATGTTTTGTGTCAATTTGGTGAATAATTGAAGTTAACAGGGCAGGACGCAAATACACTAGAAGGAAGCATGGGAAACATGGCATATCTTTGTCCCTAGAGGGGGTAGTATTACATGACGGAGAGGGAATCCCACATTCCAAGCAGTGGTGAGATGATGTGAGGAGTACTCCAACGCAAGCTTTTTGTTTCGCTGAGAGATGGGAGAGATTACCGGGAGGATTAAACAGCATGCACTCAAAGATTGGCCAAAACAGACAATTTTTGTCCATCTCTATTCTTACTGCAACCTTGAAATCTTTCACTCTTCATCTTATTTTGCAATTATTACTCTGATTACATCAGGTTTATTTCATCTCTCTCTCTCTCTATCTATCTCTTCCTCTCCCTCTCTATCTCTCCTACTCTCTGGAGCAATGTAGAATACCTTGCCATCTTCTCAATAGATTTCCTGCCATCTTCTCAATAGATTTCCTTTTTCTCGCTCCCTCCATCACAGCCCTGACTCAATCGAGGCGAGCAGTGAAATTGGGATTGAAATTGGTTGAAATTGTAAGGGAAAGACGTAGAGGAATGACATGAGGGAATTACCCCCAAAGCCCATTCCTCCCCTACATCTTGAAAAACTAATCAAATTTTCTTGTCATTTTTGTCGTCCTAATCTAATTTTCATTTTTGATGTGATCATTGGTTTGACACATCCCATTTCTTCATATTTCTTTTTCATCTCTTTCCTCATCTCTCTCTCTCTCTCTCTCTCTCTCTCTCTCTCTCTCTCTCTCTTCCTCTCTCTCTCTCTTCCTCCCTCTCTATTTCTCTCATCTTTTCTCTCCCCCTCTCTCCTGCACTCAATTTTAGTTCAAAATATCTCTTCTCAAGGCAGTAGACATTGAGAATGAAGGAAATAGGACAAATGTAAATGTATTATTTGTTTTATAATGGGATATGATTCAAAATGATAATCAATGCAAAGTGTTATAACAGGCAGGAAAGCCACTAGCCAGGATATTACCACCTTAAAGATGGTTCTCCTTAAAATCTAATCATGCAAAATTAGGAAACCAAGAATAGTAATTTATATAACTGTTAAGAGAAAGTCCACCATTGTAATAAGTTGGTATTAGAAGCAGAAAAATGGGAGAAACTGGTCTATGAAAGTTTGAGCAAAAAGCGATTAAAGATGAGAAAGTTATGAATCTTTGAAGGTGCGATCAATCAAATACAATTTGGTATCTCTATGAGTATGACATTTCTTGCAAGGTCCTTTTCATTTACCATACATGTACTAAAAAGAAAAAAAATCCCTGAAGAATTTTTAAAATCATAAATTCACCCTTAATATAAATTATTGCAAATGCAAATGTGTTTTTATACATGCCCTGTTTGAAAGAAATTTATTTCTTCATCATTAATTAAGAAAATCAAAGTTTATGAAAATTACGAAAAGTGACAGGTTGGAAGGACAGTTAAAAGAAGACAAGGACAATTCAGAAATAGATGGAGAGAGTGTGGATGTACTAGAGAGATAAAGAATCTTCTATGGACGTTAGAAAAGAGGAAAAAAAACCAAGAGCACATTTAGCCTGCCAGATGAGAAATAATGAGAAAGAAATGAGGAAAGTAAATCAAGGAATTCAAAGGAATGCAAGAAGAAAATGACCATAAATTGGGAAAGAAAGAATAAATACCACAAGAAGTTTGCCTGAGGTGGTGTACCTTTATTCCCTGTTATTATTCTAAACATTTCTAAGACAGGCAATTAAACCACGTCTAAACATGCCAAAGCTGCCAGAGCCTTTTCTGCCGTTGGCCAAAATCCTTGGCCCCAGAGAGAGAGCTCATTCAAAGGCCTACTCCATTAGAGCCCTACTTATTCTCTTTTCTTTAATTCACACTCTTTTCTTTTCACTTACTTCTTTTCTACTCTTGTGGTTTAAAGCTGAAATCCCCAGATTTTGAAAACAGTAATACATACCTATCAATGTTCTTTTCTTTTCCTTCATTTATATTGTTTTGTATTGCATAGAACATGAATTGTAAACAGTTTTGCCTGGTATGTACCATTATATTATATAAATCTTCGCTCGTAGTTTCAGGGTTCTAAATGTAAAATTTACCTTAATTTTTAGTAAATATCTGAACAACAAGAAAATGGCTGGCTGCTACGGTACTCTCAATAATAATTCCAAAAGCTGTACAAGTGAATCCAATTTGGAAATATTACATTTCCGTAGAAAGCCTGTATGCCCTCTTTGATTTAGATGTAAGTCTGCTATTTACTCCTGTTGTTTATGACAAGCATGTATTAAGTTTGGGAAAATGTGTGATCATCAAAAAGTGTTTAGACCTTTAAAAAGTGTTAAGATCTCAAAAACTTCCAGGGGAAAAGAGGAAAATTTTCCTAGCTAAAAATGCTAGATGTTTGGACTATATATATATGTCTTGTAGGATTATACTTCTTTGTAGCACATATGGAGGAAAGATATAGTGGAATTAAATGGAGCTGAATTGAAGGAGAGTTAAAGATGCCCAACAGGCATTCCCATTTATATGAGCAACAGTCAACAAATCTAGCACAGTCAAGTAGCAAGTAAGAAAGATTTTGCAACAGTTTCTTAAAAGAACTCTCAAGGGAAGGTGAATAGAAAGTTGATCGTTCACATGTAGTTTCTCCCCTCTCACTTTGTTGATAAAGAGAGTTGGAAAGATGGAAAGAGAGAGAGAAAAGAGAGAGAGAAAAAGAGAGAGAGAGAGAGAGAGAGAGAGAGGGAGGAGAGGAGAGAGAGAGAGAGGGCAGAAAGGAAGAAATAAAGAGACAGAAAGAAAGAGGGGGATGTTATTTTACACTAGATTTATGAAATCCAACACAAAAGCTTGTCACAGATTAATCTACCAAATGTATCATGGTTTTCTATTTTGCTATGATGCCGCTATTAATGGTATACTTTATACACCATGGATGCAATAACTTTTGTCTATACATATAATTGAAGCAGCATGGTGCTCAGATAATGAATTTGGTATCTTATCTAGAGTATGTTGCGTCAACCATATTAAAAGTTTCATTTGTTTTGCTCGCTTGCTCCACTCACTCGCAAAAGTTAGATACAGAATGGTTGATATTGTGGCCAGAGTCTACAGCCCTCTCCCCTTGTGAAAATGTGCCCTGTATATATGGAACTTGATTTGTGCCAGAGTGATGCAAAACAAAACTTCTGCGATGAATTTTGGGTAGGGGTGAAAAAAGTTTGGAAAACACTGGTATATACTGTCAAATGTGGGATCTACATGTATAATGAAAGATATGTATAATGAATAATCTCACAAAATGTAGATAAGGATAAATGGGTCAATAATATTTTAAATCTAAATTAGTGATTTAAGTGCTACAAAGTCAGTAGAGCATTCCGCCTCACAACCAGGAGGTCTTGGGTTCGAACCCCGGCCGCGTCATACCAAAAGACGTTAAAAGATGGGAGTTGTTGCTACCTTGTTTGGCGTTCAACAATTAAGGGATAGAGCAACGTCGATCTGGCACTGCTCAGTGGCTGCCGGGCTCACGATCAATTGGGCAAAAAGAATTTCTGTTTCGGTTTAATAAAATTTGGAGTGGACTATTAGGCTACTATTATTAAGAAAAAAGAAAAATATCTTTGAAAGAGACATGCTGTTTTCTTGCACTCATCAGAGTAAAGCACAATTATGAACAGAAAGCCAATATCGGACGATGCAAACAGAAACTAAAGGGACAATCTATGGTTGCGTTTATCTAGCAAATTTTTGGCTAGAATCAGGTTTCTCAAACGTCTTTCAGGCAAATTTAGAAGTAGATAAACGCAAAGCCTTTTTCAAACGTCTTTAGATATGGGCATATCTAAAGACGCAAAAAGGTGCGTTTTGAATGTGACATACAGCCAGAATCACGTTTCTGAGAGATCGATAAACGCAAAGCTGTTTTGAACCTCACATACAAATATGACCACCCAGGTGTTGTGTACAAGCATACGTGTGAAGTTGACCTCCGAGAAACTGTCTGCTTCCCGGGTCAAAACAGCTGGGCAGACACAAGGCCTTTATTTTGAACCCGGATTTTGAATCGTGAAGGGTCGATAAACGCGACATCCCGCAAATCACGATCGTGTAGTGGGGTACGATAGTGGGGTTCGATAGTGGGGTACGATATGTACATATCTAGTGGCAAGCCTAGATAAACGCGCTCTAAGCCTGTGAAAATGTAATTTGTTTGTTTTCATTTGTTATTATTTTTATTCATTATATTTAACTATATATTTATGGGTGCACTTAGTATTATCATACAATCCCCATCTCATACAATTGACTATTTAGACCACCACTTCTATATATTTCAAATTCTTGACAACACTTTTTGGGCTGTTATGATTGTAATACATGATTTCTTAATACTAGGTTGTTCTGATGATTATTGGGTTAATTGATATTTTGACACTCCTCTTAATAATGTAGTAATTGCAAATTAAATGTGAATTTTTACCCAAGGTTACAACCACCATGGTAAAGATCACGAGATTGAGATTAAAATCCTTGGTAGGAAACTTCCCATTCTACACTGATCTAGAAGAGAAATCTATTAAACTAGATGTGTATGGGTTTTGTGAGCATTGCTTGGATTTATCAGGCATCGGGGACGTCCTGCTCGCTTTGCTTGAAAGCCCTGGCATCAAAAATAATTAGCAGCACATATCATTAATGCCTGCAGGACCCAGATACAAAATCACTCTCATTACCAGTGAACAAAAGAATGGAGAATAATAATGTGAGAAAGAGAGAGAAGGCCTGTCATCATCAGCTTGAGATTGCCAAATATCTCGCTATTTGAACTATCCCGATCGCAAATTATCCAGTTAATTTATGTCTTCATCAGCCCAAAGTTGCAATTAGCGGGATATTTGTTCGAGACAATCATCCCAAGATATCTTTGGCTAGTTTGCAAAATATCCCGCTATTTGTCTGGTGCATCCTCACCAGCCCGAAGACTCGCACTAAGCGCGAACGCTGAGCTCAAGTTTCAAGTTTCCAGGTCAAGTCTTGAGCTGATGAAGACGCGATTTGTAACTTCAGGATTATTTCCCAAATCAGAAATAGCCGGCTATTTGGCAATCTCGAGCTGATGAGGACAGGCCTAGAGAGAACTACATGTAGAATTGTAGATGGAGGGAGGCTAGGGAGAGACAATGAGACAGAGCGACCATAATGCAGCTGTTGATTTCCTCTCAAAACAAGTGTTCAAACTACTGAGCAGACTTGATCACACCCACATTCAGAAGTGGAAAACAATCTATATTGTGCAACAACTATATGATATATATTTAGCACACAATACAATAAGTACTTCTTTCTTTGAAGTATTCTAATGAGCTGAACTGAAAGTGAAAATTACCCTTTCAAAAATACAAATCATATAGGCTAGATAAAACATTAAATGATAATTTCATTTCCTGCTGTGGTTACTTTAGAAATCTATTGACTCAATAATAAAATTCAATCATAAATGTGACAGCGTATAAAACATGGTGTTTGGCGTATGTCTTTAAGTTTAATGTTAACATTATCCTCCACTGCAATATCAGATGTTTTGCTTGATGGTCAAGATAATGTCAGTTTTTTTCAAGCACAATAAGGTACAATTATTAAAAATGTATCAATGAGTTTGTTATTAAAAATGTGCAGACATAGTGCTCTGAAAGGAAATTTACATAGCATCTATACATGTATTCTCCTAAAACCACTTTTAGGCCTATATTTCTTTTTCTTTCTTTAATTGTAGGACTAGATTTTCTTGTGTGTGGGTGTGGGGGCTCACTTCTAAATATCTCTAGAGAATTGTGGAGAGTCCTTCACTAATTGTGCTTTGATAAACACAGTGCTGGAGCCTGCCTCCTAGTGGCCTCCAAGCTTGATTAGACGGGTATCTAATATCACCAATCCCTGGCCCACTAGGGACCCTCTAGTCAGTATGGGGGACCACCATTAACAGAATTGATCATGTCTCATCTCATTAACTCCAGACTTCATCACAAATTATCACCCCATTCATCATGTTCCTTACCCTCCTTCATCCCACCATCCCACCCTCTCTCTATCTCTCTTTTCTGCTTTCTACCCATCTTGTTTTTCCTCCCCTCCCCCTCTCCCCTTCTTATCTGTCCCCTCTTCCCCCTTCTCTCTATCCCTTTGTCTCCCCATGGACCTAATAAGAATAAGGTCCATGGTCTCCCTTTTGCCTCATCCACCCTTTCTATCTGCCCCCTTCCTTACCCCTTCCCTACCCCTATATATTTGTTCTGCTTTTCATTTAACCCTATCTTCATTCTCTCTCTCTCTCTCTCTCTCTCTCTCTCTCTCTCCCCCCCCCTCTAGCTCTCTCTCTCTTTCTGTCACTCCCTCACTCCCACCCTTCTTTTACTGTCTTCCTCTTTTCCTCTCCTCCTCTCTTCCTCTCCTCCTCTCTTCCTCTCCTCATCTCTTCCTCTCCTCATCTCTTCCTCTCCTCATCTCTTCCTCTCCTCATCTCTTCCTCTCCTCATCTCTTCCTCTCCTCATCTCTTCCTCTCCTCATCTCTTCCTCTCCTCATCTCTTCCTCTCCTCATCTCTTCCTTTCCTCATCTCTTCCTCTCCTCATCTCTTCCTCTCCTCATCTCTTCCTCTCCTCATCTCTTCCTTTCCTCATCTCTTCCTCTCCTCATCTCTTCCTCTCCTCATCTCTTCCTCTCCTCATCTCTTCCTCTCCTCATCTCTTCCTTTCCTCATCTCTTCCTCTCCTCATCTCTTCCTTTCCTCATCTCTTCCTTTCCTCATCTCTTCCTCTCCTCATCTCTTCCTCTCCTCATCTCTTCCTTTCCTCATCTCTTCCTCTCCTCATCTCTTCCTCTCCTCATCTCTTCCTCTCCTCATCTCTTCCTTTCCTCATCTCTTCCTTTCCTCATCTCTTCCTCTCCTCATCTCTTCCTTTCCTCATCTCTTCCTCTCCTCATCTCTTCCTCTCCTCATCTCTTCCTTTCCTCATCTCTTCCTTTCCTCATCTCTTCCTCTCCTCATCTCTTCCTTTCCTCATCTCTTCATCTCCTCATCTCTTCCTCTCCTCATCTCTTCCTCTCCTCATCTCTTCCTCTCCTCATCTCTTCCTCTCCTCATCTCTTCCTCTCCTCATCTCTTTCTCTCATTCTGTTTTTTACTGTGATATTTGTGTTTCTTTCTGACATTTTTGAATAATAAACTCTTTAAAAATATATATTTTGTATTATTTCAGGAATGTGATCAGGTGCACATAGACGATGTAGCATCCGATGACAATGGACAAGATTTGAGGTATGATACATAGCTGTATTGAGACCATTGTATTGTATTGTGACCATTTTTTGTCAGTGATTTGAAGCAGGCTCTGAGAATGTACTGTGCATTCTTGATTTATTGCAATTTGCATTGTATTACATCTGCTGTATCATTTTTTTTCCTGTAAACTAGTTTTGCATCGTTATTCCATGATTCCTCTGACCAAAAAGAGCTGATTTGCTCCATGAACTTTAAAGAAATCCTGGGAGAAATAATCTTTTGTATGTGATATTTCAGTCTGATTTTTTGATGGATTATTTGAGTGAATCAAGGAATATTTGCCAATGGAAACATTTATTTATTGATGTTCAACATGTTTGGAATACATTTCATTTTTTTTCTCTCCAAACAGTAATTACAACTTCCAGACGGACGGGTTTCATGCTGCTGCTACCAGTGCTAACCTATGTCTTGCTACTGGTGTAAGAGGTGGCGTGGATTGGATGAGGAAGCTAGCGTACCGGTATAGGAGGATCAAGGAGATATACAGCTCATACAAGAACAATGTTGGAGGTAAGGATACTTCACTTGAATGAATACAAAGAAAGACAAATAGAAAGATCAGTTGACAGATAGATGAATATGAAAGAAAGGCCAAAGAATTCACTCTCAGACGCTTTGCAGTTGATGTTTAGTTATTTTATTTTGAAGGCAACAAAACAGCCCCTGTAGAAACACAAGAGTAAAAACAAATGTAGATTAAAAAACATCATAATATTCAAATAACCAATGACATAATTATATACTTCATGATCTGTATCAGCAACAAAGAAGGTGTTCAGTAAATAAGTCCATTATAGACCAGCTTCAAACATTGTATCAACTAAATAATCATCACTATTATTTTCATTTCACAATATAATGCCTTACATCACTTAAGCAAAACCTAAATTACAGTTGAAGTGTAAAAAGTAACAACAGATTCATTCAATACATAATGCAAACAATATCTTTTTTAATACAAATTAAAAACCAATAAGACTCACCGCCCACACTATATAAAAAAAAGGCTTGACTTCAACGTACGCCCTTGTACAATACAGTCTTTGTGGTCCTATGAGGGATAAAACGTAATATATTACAATTAACATACAGCAAAATTCAAAGGTATAAATACATACAATTCAGTTATAATAGACCATTAATCTGTATAAAATCGTAAAACATCGTACCACCTAGGCCTGAGTCATCACGGGTTTTGCCGAACCCGGGTTTGACTTGAAAATTTTGGGTAGGGACCGGGTACCCGAAATTTTCACCACTGCACTGACACTAAAAATCGTGTGCATGCAACAGCGGGAGTTAGACTAAGTTGCTGTTCTAATAATGCGACGTAAAAGACAGTTAGTGCTTTCAAAACAATGAAATAATCCATTGAATTAAATTAAGATGCTTTAAAAAATAAATGGATATCGTTTCAGTGGACGGTAGGTGTTTTTATCGCTCAAAATTGGGGATGCAAGAAAGGAATTACGCTTCGTGCGTGGTACCTAGTGCGTTCAAAAACGGAAGTGGAAATATGACCCACTGAAGACTGAGCTAGTTAAGAAAGCCCCACACACAAGACTAAAATGTTGATCAGACTATTACAATTAAATCGTAAATAATAGGCATTAATTTAATTGTCAAAATATGTCCACAAAATAATGGGTTACGACCCTTGATAATTTGATGAAGGAAAATAATTTAAAGCCCTTGAAATAACATCGAAGTGCTTTCCGTTCGTTCTAAAAATGCGTGTATAAACGGCAAGCTGAAGTTACAAGTCAAGTTTTGTTTACATATATCCCTACACTGCCATCCAAGCTGATCGGAACATTAAGCATTAAACCAATTAAAAAACATCACGTAAGACTTTAAGGGACTCCAATTCCACAAAATTACTGTAAAATAATTATTTGCTTTGACAAATAATACTATAGATATTCATATTATCTTACAGAAATAATGATATTACATGTACATGAGCTACGTACTCGATATCGAGTTCAGCTAGCCATCATTTTGAAATGAGACGTAGTTGTCATGCAGTAGACTGTAGAGGGCGGTAATGCAGCAGAGAGAGGTAAAAAGCGCGGGCCTGAGATCACGTGATATTCACGTGCCTATGACGGGATTTTTTTCCCTCTCTGCGAGCTGCCGCATTCTCTGCATGACAACTACGTCTCATTTCAAAATGATGGCTAACTGAACTCGATATCGAGTACGTAGCTCATGAAATATCATTATTTCTGTAAGATATTATGAATATCTATAGTATTATTTGTCAAAGCAAATTATTATTTTATGGTAATTTTGTTGAATTGGAGTCCCTTAAAGTCTTACGTGATGTTTTTTAATTGGTTTAGCTCGGATGACCGTGTAGGGATGTAAACATGCATATCAAGCTTGACTCGTAACTTCTGCTTGCCGTTAATTTTATACACGCATTTTAAGAACGAACGAAAGGCACTTCGATGTTATTTCAAGAGCTTAAATTTATTTTCCTTCATCAAACTATCAAGGGTAAACCATTATGTTGTGGATATATTTTGACAATTAAATTAATGCCTTTAGTATTGCGATTTAATTGCAATAGTCTGATCAGTCTTGTGTGTGGCACTTTCTTGCTCTGTCTTCAGTGGGTCATAGATCTATTTCCACTTCCGTTTCTGAATGCACTCGATCGGTACCTCGAAGCGTGATTCCTCTCTTGCAGCCTATTTTAGAGCGATAAAAACACCTACCGTCAACTGAAACAATATCCATTTATTTTTAAAGCATATTTATTTGATTATATTGAAATATAAGTTTGTGAATTGCATATTTTTATTTCTATATTTCAAAATATCAGTGTGAAATTTAATTTTGAAAAACCCGAAACCCGAAAACCAAAAACCGGGTATCAGCTCGACGGTCGGGGCCCGGGCGGAGACCCGTTTTGACTTGGGCTTAGTACCACCAATAAAATTAACAAGTGCGAGTTTAGGATTTCACTTTGTGTTCATGCACATACGCCACTCAAATACTATAAAAAGGATCAAATTGCAAGAACCCATTACACACTCAAATTCTGCCAATATCCATAGGAACATCAATAATTGTTCAACAAGCATATAAGTAGGATACATGTATTATATATATAACAATAAATAAATGTAAAATTTATAAGGATAATCGAATGATTAACTCACATGTAACTCAATTGCCCACTATGCACGTGCACCACTTGTGACTTCTCTGCAGTAATGTCTTCTCCAGTAATGTGAAAGCTGTCACCTCCTGCAACTGAACCCAAGCCCAGGTCATTGTCCAGCGTGCACTCAAGCCATTGCAAGAGAGGCCTGAGTGCACACTGAACAATAGCCTGCCTGAACAATAGCCAGGTCCAGCCACAGGAGGCAAAAATCTCACATTACTACAATTTCCCCCCAATTAATGACATTACCGGGTAATACATTAATTTAACAATAAAATCAAAATTGCAAAACACACAAGAAAAATACATTCAATACATTTTCTCTGTTCCCCCCTTATGGAGGCAACAATCTCACATGACTACAAATATATATAGATACATTGTACATGTAGATGGATGGATGGATGGATGGATAGATAGATAGATAGGAGAAGATATTGATCTGCGACGGATTCTGACAACAATTTGAGTAACAATTTTTCTGACAACAAGTGGAGTAACAATTTTTCGACCATAGGGTTTTTCAGGTTATGATACAAAAGTTAGATGACTATATAGATAGATAGATAGATAGATAGATAGATAGATAGATAGATAGATAGGCAGGCAGGCAGACAAACAGAGATAGATAGATAGAAAGATTAAGACAGACAGATAGATACTTGTAGATAGATAGGTAGATAGATGAATATAGTATACGTACATACATGTAGATAGAGAAAAAGATAGATATCTCATAGGTAAAATGTTCATAGATCAATAACATTAATGAAAGGATATTACAATAAAACAAAACATACATCTAGACTAAGCAATACCCATCTTTATTATGCAAATACATGTAAATATACAGTACATATCCTAAAGGTATACAGTAAATAAAACTATTGTAAATTCTTGTAATAAGTTAAATGTTGAGAGTTTGTAAAGTACAACCTCTTCCTAATTATCAAAGACTTGAAGTAATGTGGCTGCTTTGCATTTTATTTTTTAGGACTACTTGGACCTCAGAAGAGAGAACAATGGCTTCAACTACGAGCTGAGATTGAAGCTATGACTGATTCGTGGCTCACCATCGCTCTCAAATCACTCTCAATCATTCACTCCAGGTAAGGAACAACACAGTGCACCACAATCTACAACTAAATATATATACGTTGCATTCAACTCAAAATTAGTGCAACAAGATTGATTAATTTGAAAGAGCATTTAGTATGTCCTTTAGAGAAAGTATTATCTCAAGTTATTATCTTGAGATAATATCTCAATGATTTCCATAAGCTTGACGTCTTTCCTACATTGTAGTTTGCTATGGACAATCAGCCTATTTAGTCCATTTGCTTGTAGTTATTAAGATTAAACACCCTTTATGCATTAATAATGGTAACAAATAAAACTGTTTATTGCATATATATATATATATATATATGTGTGTGTAAAAGAGTCAAATAAAGAGCAGAATACTGCCAATAGATTTGTATTTTTGTCCTTCTCAGTAAGAGTTCTCTTTTTCTATGCCCACCTCAGATCTAACTGCATCAACGTGTTGGTGACCACTACACAGCTTGTCCCTGCAGTTGCCAAGGTTCTGCTCTATGGTCTAGGAGGTGTGTTTAACATTGAGAATGTATACAGCGCAACAAGGGTTGGGAAGGAGAGCTGCTTTGAGCGAATCGTAGCCAGGTTTGGCCGTAAGGTCACGTATGTTGCCATCGGTGATGCAAAGGATGAGGAAACAGCTGCCAAACAGGTAGGAAGAGGACCGAAGACCAATCAAAATTGATTGCTAGTTACTCCTGGGGGGTGTTTCACAAAGATCCTAAGTTGGACTTAACAATTATGAAAAGCCGTTTGCATCATTGAAAATATTTAGTATAAGTTATTTTACTAAGAGGCATAAAATGTTGATTCAAATCATTCATATTTTCTTGTAGCATGCAAGATTTTGTTTTCTTGATGTGGAATTCATGAAAAGTCTAAAATACTTGAAATTTTGCTTTTCATTATATTTTATTTTATGGCTACAAATGGCTCTCCATAACTTTTAAGTCCAACTTAGAGTTAAGTTTGATTTAGAATCTTTTTGAAACAGCCACTTGATTTATTTTTCAGCCCGACTCAATTCCATTTTTCACTTAATTTTTTTGATTAAACATGTAATGAAGAAAAATTTTGGGAGAATCTGATACAATAATGGTGACATCATTCCTAGCATAATTTAATTTACAGAGCCTCTAAAGTACATGGACATTTACATTCTTATTAAGAAAATTTTGTAAAAATTGCCCCAACAGGATTTGTATACCGGTAGTACAAGTAAAATATTGAAACACACCCAAGCTCCTCCTCGCTTTCAAAAATTTAGTGATAATTCAATCGAAAAAGCAAAACAGCCTGCTGTAACCTCTCCTTGACACTAGGTTATTGTTATCTAAAACCAGTATAATTCTTTTTCTAAGATTCTGGAATCTAACAAACAGTAAGTGAATACCTGTAACAAGTTATCTGCAGATAAAGGATTGAGTAGTGCAGATGTAAAATCACACTTTGTACTTTTATGAATCGTATCAAAGTATTTTGAGAGTACTTCAGATGATATATTCTCTGATGTTTGTTTGTTTGTTTGTTTGTTTCAGCTGGACTTTCCATTTTGGCGGGTAACAAGTCATTCAGACCTAGCAGCATTACATCATGCACTTGATCTTGGATACCTCTGAGAACCATCCCTATTGATGCTATCCACCCCTCCCCTACCCCCTTTACACTTGATTTTAACCCCTCCCCCCCCCCCCCCCCCCCCCTCCCCTCCCCTCCCCACACTACCTTTGCACCTTCGTTCTATCTTGCCTCCTCTCAAACCTCATCCTAATTTCACCCCTTGTACCCCGGACAACTCACCTCTTGGAATATGCCATTGGTGCTAAAAATATGTGAGAAAGACTCAGAAACAAACCAAACAACTTGATGAACTTGCCATAGTGATGATGACATTCAGATGTAAATAAAGAGATTCAAGGAAGGACAGGAGAAGAATGACATTAGCCGGCAGCTAACTTAGTTGCATCAGCAAAGTAGACCCATTGTTTGGAGAACAAAGAGAACATGATGAATACTCATCGAGATGAAACTACTGTTTCCATAGTAACCAGTGAACATCTATTCAAATATGTGAATATTGGTCTCTTTGTGAAGGATTATGATGAAGGGTTATGATGAACCATCAGAACTCACTCAGGACTTCAAGTCATCTGTGTGTTTCTCGTTAAGATGGAATTGTTTAGCTTTGTTTTTGTGTAAGTCATTCTACTGTCTCTTGGAATTTCGTATGTAGATTTTTGCTGCTCCTGAGGTTGATTATTCTCTTTTTCATAATTGCAAAATTTTCAGGTGTATATTTAATTTATTGTATTTCCAGAAATGATAATATCTGTGATATTGTTTTTTTTCACCAAGAAATTATTATCATGGATGAAGTGTAATGATTCTAATAGTTTTTCAGAAATATAGAAAATATAGCGGACGTACTGAAACGTCATTATTTCTTCCTAAATAATTTCCAAAGAGTTTCAAAAGCAGAATTGTGAATGCAGTTGAATTAAAGCATGTTTATTGTAAAATTCAAAATGATGTTTTATTGCAAGAATTTTTAAAATCTTTCCCGTAACATGAAGTTAGAATGTTATCTTCCATGAAGATAACATTTTGCTATAGAACGTCCAGCAGTTATTGTACAATATCAGGACAAAACAAATGAAATGTTTTGGAATTGTAAATAGAAAAGTAGTTGTTTTATGAAGACAAGTTACAGGTTACATACAATCAGAAAAGCATATCACAGAACTGAGATATTTTGAGTGTAATGATTTACAAACTTTGTAACATTTTTTCCCTTATTGTGCTGATCATGAAAGTGGCCAATTTGAATGTTATTTATCATGAACTGGTTTTGACTGTAATTAGTCTGTGTGAATTCATTTTTTTGTAAAGTTGAGAACAAAATTATGTTGTGAATGATGTTGATGATGGTTAGATGAATATATTTTGTTTTCAAAGTTTAGTTTTAATATATTTGGCTTGTTGTTGTTGTGGTTATCATGACATACCAAAGAGAAAGAGTATTATGAAAACATAAAAAGGCCTTGTTGATTTCTGTCCATCTATTGTGTTCATAGATTAGTTGGTTAAATTGTTCTCATTAGAAAATAGATACAGAGAATCAATAGTCCCCACTTCCAAACATAATCCTCAAGATGTCAATATTGCATCACTTTTGTAAAGTTGATACAATTCTACATGTATTTTTTGAACATTCATTTATGGGTATCCTGAGTTTTTTGACTGCATGGAATATCATTTGGGAATTTGAATGTAGTATTTTAGATTTTAACAAGCAGATCCAAATCATTTTTATATGAGGTTAGTAAAACCTTACAATTTTTAACCTATATCAAATGATAAATGCGTCTTTTCAGTAAATAATTTTAACCTTGTCTCTTTGATTATTTTTGTTTAATTGTCTCTTTGGTCAGAAAGTAACGTGCATTGTGGTTTTTGATGCACCCCTCAGGCATTCAATCCATTGTATGTTAGGTGTTTGGCATTCATGTTTCATATACATTACTTGCTTATTGTTGAAAATCAATGCCTACTCCTTGTGCATCATGCTCAAAAATGGTCATGTATATTGTTGTTTGGGGACAAGGGTATGTGAAGAGAAATTCTATTGTTTTCTTTCTTATTATTTTGTTGATTGTTTGCAAAGAGAAATGTAAAAGAAGACAATACTTATATGTATAAAGTGTTTACATAGTTCATAAATTGCAGATGATTTCATGTTGTTTGTATGTAGGTATTATTACTACTATTATTATTATTATTATTATTATTATTATTATTATTATTATTATTATTATTATGTGAAGTTTAATATAAATTGAATATTTGTAAAGTAAGAAGAAATTTTGTGAAGACTTTGCCAAAATGTGTAGTGATTTGTATCAAATGTGATCTTAACCAAGCCGTGCTATGTTTCTTGATCTTGTCATGCTATTGCGGACAAATATTGTTGTTTTGTAGCAAGTTCTGTGTTGCTAATCTTTGTTTTAACATATCTAAGTTGCCAAAGGATTTTTAATAACAATACCTGCAGGGTGCATAATTGATTTAGTGTCTATAAAGGCAATACACTGTTAGTCAAGGGCATGGAGGAATGTGACAGAAATCAATTTCAGAGGTTCTTCGTCTCCTCATATAATGTTGAAACTGTTATAGGGCTTTTTGGGGTTGGGGTTATTTTGCTTGGAAAAACTTAACACTATTTCAGATATGAAGCGGTATTGAAACCATGTGGGTTTTTTAAATGATTGTGTAAATGAAAAGCAACTGTATTTTAACAAAGGTCCTACATGTATTCACCGAGCTCTGTTTTATAAGAATCAGTTATGTGAATCATATTACACATATCTGAACACAGGCTTCATCCTAGTCTTCTAAATCCACTTGCTTCAAGAATTCAAATTGGTTTTATTCTCAGATTCATACATGAATCTAACTGTAAATGTATGTTAACTGCAAGCAAGCCAGGTGTAACACATCATCATTGTGGGAGACATGTACACTAAAAATACAAGGCAAAGCATTATATATAAACATTTGTTATTTCTGAATAAAAAAAATATTAGAGATATTTACATTTTCTGCCATCCACTGGCACTTTGACCAACATTGTGTATTGCCTTTACATATATTGTTTGTAAAGCATTAGTTCCATGCAAACAACGCATTGATTCTTTAAAAATTCTTCATTAAAGTATGAACTTTTTTTTCTTATAAAATGACTAAGTGTGCTTCAAGATCTATTTTGGCTTCCTATAAAAGGTTAGAGTATTGTTTTTTTTTGCTGTATGTGAAATATTTTAATGAATATTAGGAGAAAGTTCTATTATAATCCAGACATCCCACAATTGAACATTTTTGGAAAATGATTTGATGTGTGATGAAGATTGATCTCCTGGTGATTTGAAATGATGAATGGAAAGAAAAAAATTATGTGCATGAAAAAGCTCTAATCCAAATTCTTCAGCCAAAATTTTAGTCTCAATCTTAAAGTTGGTTTTGAAATGAAAAGGAATTTTCACCGTTTCACTTTTAGGTTAAATTTGAATTGTTGCCAACTTCTATGTGGTAAGATCTTGCCATTTTTAATGCTCAATGCAATCTCGCTTATTCAAATTCATCATTTAGAATTGGATAAATTCAAGGTGTATCGGCTCAGAAAGTGTGCTTATACAAACTCATTGAAGATCCTATCTTCAACATAATATAGAAATGCCAGAGAGAGAAACAAATCAGAAGATTGATGGTAACTTGCCACAGACTACACAAAGTCTGGAATATGGTTGTAATATATATATGAAATATATATATGGTCATTTGGAATACCAGAAGGATTGGTATATAAATCTTTGTTAACAGTCTGTATAAAGATGGAAACATATTTGTTGTTATTTTTTTCTGTTTCTGTTTTCAGTTATAATGTGTATTGTATTTATGTGTGTTTTTGGTGTTTTTGAAGATTTACTGTTAGCTTTTTGAGGAAAGACTTTTAAAGCAAGTCATTTTCTTTTCTTCATTTTCTTTCTTGAAAAGATTATTAAAAACTGATTGACATGAAGACAAAATGAAGTCTGAATTCTTGTTTAGTTTGTTTCTCATCTCATTGTTTTAGGTGATATTAATGTTGTTACTCGCAAACACTGAAGAACCATCACATGACCCTCCACATCCACCAAGCCAGAAGCAGACAACTACCCCCCAGGACAACTACCCCCCCGGACAATAACCCGCTAGGACAACCATCCTGTAGGACAACTTCCTCCCGGACAACTTCCTCCTGGACAACTACCCCCTAGGACAACCACCCTTCGGGACATATCTACCCCCTAGGGGGGAAGTCGTAGAGGATGGTTGTCCTAGCGGGTTATTGTCCGGGGGGTAGTTGTCCTGGGGGGGTAGTTGTCTGGGGAGTAGTTGTCCAGATCCACATTGACCTGCCATGCTGTCCTCTTCTGCCTTGGATGTACATTTACTTGGTCGATGGTAAGCTGGTTCAGGTCGTATTCACGTTGATGAATGGCCAGAAGATATTGAATCAAGAGTTTCTGATCATCCTCCATCTCATTCTCTGATGACCAACTAAGCAGGGGAGTGTTTCAAAAAGACTAAGACCAACTTTAAATTGGACTCAACTATGGCAGGCTGTTCATGCCACTGTTTGCTCTCACCATTTACTGGCATTTGTCTCTCAAGGGACATACAAATCATGGTCACAAATCTACAGAATTTATATTTTTTGATAATTCATTATTGAAGGAAAAAATATTATTTAAAGATCATAATGGCGACAGAAAACAGTTGGCCATTCATTAGCCCTTCGTTAGACAAAGCTACATGTATGTATATGTTGTGCATTTGCTGTGGCAAAGTTGCAGATGGGTTGGATGTATTTGGATGAAGAGCAGACGAAGAAGAAACTTGCACCCAACATGTTCAAAAAGAGAATGCTCAATGTATACATAGCGTATAGATCAGTACACTGTCACACTCTCAAAATTTTGAACATGTCCAAAATTAAAAGTCGGCCAGGCGTAAACAAAGAGCATAATTAATGTACAGAGATAAAAGGGATAGAAGAAGAGAGGAAGAGAAATACTTTGTAAAACCTCTAACCTTTTGTAATGTTCATGCTGTTGAGCATTCCTCAGATCATTTCTAAAAGTTATTGTTCCCCCATGATGTGGTCGTTTAGTACATGTACATTCATTTATAATAAAGAGACTCAGAAAATTAAATATTTATTTTCAATAATAATTTATTATCCAATTTCAATGCTTTTAGTTTGCTTTAGCTATTACATTCATATACACGTATCTGAAAGTAATTTATTAAACACAAACAGCAATGTGAATAATGTAGAAATATGGTTTTCTAATGAACATAGTGAACATAACACTTCAATCTTTTCATTATGAATAATTGTGTTTTCGTTTCAATCCAAAGATATATTGACAGATTGTAGACAGAATCACAACATATCAACAGAGATATCTTCACTTCCACACTCCACAATACTCTGTACCTTTTAGATTTTATAAACGCAACAAAAAATGTTTGTGATATATAAATCAGTTTGCTCTGTTGATCTTCTGGGTCAAATAATAAATAAGACAATAAAATTAAATGTTAATAAGATCACTTTTGAAAGTACCTTACTAGCTTTGTGGAATGGAATGATCCAAACTTTTGCAAGTCCATAAATGAAAACTTATACTTTGGAACTCACCTTTAAACAATAAAGTTGTGCTAAGATTTGATTAATTAACCTGTTGACTACTAAATTGTTTCATTCCCATAGGCTTCATACAGGATCCACAAGGCTCCAAGAGACAATTGGTTAATTACTTTTATTTTTTTTGGGGGGTCCAAGCAAAATTACTCCCCCCAAAAAAGAAGTTATTTTCGAAAAAGATTTATCAAAGAGAATGATGAAATTGGAAGTATTCATTCTTCAGTCCATTTGTAAAAACAAAGTATGTTTCAATTCAAGGTGCTTTATATTTATGAATTAAGGCAATAATGCTATAAATATACATAATAATACACTTGTACATTATATACAGAAATTTCAATGTACAATATTCACACAAATTGAGATAGACATTACATTTGGTAGGCACTTTATATACATACTTTACTTTAGTGTACCAATCACCAAAATGTTTGAGAAGTTCTGATATAGAGTTAGGAAAATTAGCTGATGAGAATTGGGAATGAACAAACCCAAAATGGCTCCATGTGAAATAAGTCAGAGTAGTGGAATATCATCCTTTATTTTCTTCATACTCCTGAACTGTAGCCTATAGAATGCTAGGTAATGTTTTTTGAGGTACATTTGATACATTCTAGCTACACACAAATCAGTTTTAAGGTGATTGGTACACTGAAATGAATCCATGAAAGACCCTCATTTTCCTTTGGTGGAACTATTTGACTTTGACCTTTCAACTCTCTCTTCACTGAGTGATCCATCAATAGTCTCATTACCAGCCCCTGTTTCTGATGCTGCTGCAGCTAGAGCTAATGCTCTCGTTTCTTCAGCTTGTCTCTCTGCTTCCTGTAGAGCTTGAATTTTCTTTTGCCGCTCTTCACGTTCACGCTCGGCCTGGAGACAAGCAAGCTGAAATGTGAAAAACAAAAAAAATTGTTGATTACCAATCGATCCCCGATACAGCACTAAAGTCCTTTGGCAAGTTCACTGTCAGTTCAACTGGACAGCTGCCATGTCCTTTAGAAAGACATTCATGTACATTTGCCACTCTCTACCCAGGGGCGTGTTTCACAAAGACTAAGATCGACTATAAGTTGGACTTGTGCCACTCGTTTGTCACTATTTGTCTCTCATTTATCATCTTTAGATAATATTTTTCCCACACTCGACCCAGGCGAGGTAAATGGGTACCTGGCAGGAATTAATTCCTCGAAATGATAGAGCGCTGTAATGGCAGCTAGGCTAAAGCCGGGTAATATTTCATGAGCCTTGGAATAGAATTTTTAGAAAGACGGCCCTATAGAGAAATGCCTATGATTATTATTAATTATGATATTTGAATTTCAACTTTCAAAGCAATGAGAATCTATGTGATGATGGGTATCTCAGTAATGAAAAGCCCTTTTCACAAATTACATGTATTTCAACAATTACCTAAATGTTCAAAATGTTAGTTCTTGTTTGTTTGTAACATCATTTCAGACATAGCTCAATAATTTGTTTGAGACCTTAAAGCTAAAGACTAGTTATGGTCATGCAATTGCATTGTGAAAGAAACGTTGTGAAATCGATCAGAAAAGGTTGATCATCTAGCATAGATGTACTGCAAGGTTCTGGAATCATCAAAATGATAAGAAATTTGGCCAAGTCTTCATAAAGTTAGAAGCACTGTACACAGAAAGATGTATATGACACTAATTTACCAAATATATCAATTAGTAGGCGGTTTCCCGTCAAAATTTTTATCATCATGTAATATTCAAAACATATTCTTTCACATGTTTGGTAATAAGAGCTTCCATTTCATTTTTTGAAATTGGGGCGTTTCCAATACTGGTCTTTACCTTTAAAAAAGGTAAAAATGTAAAGACAAATTGACAGGGGAGCATTTCTGCTATAACAAAATGAAGAATATGGAATAACTGACAACATTTCTCTGAATGTTGATAAAAATTATTTCTCTTTTGTGAAAATATTGCCAACAAAGTAGCTTAGTGACACAGATAGAATTCCCACTTGAATTAGAGAACTAAATTCCATGACTTTCCGTGGCCCATTTGTGCATTTTTGCATGACTACATAAGTACCATTTTGGTACGGTTGTAATAATAGTAGTAGTTTGTTTTTATATAGCCCATTTCAGGACCGCAGGCCCTCTCAAAGCAATTTACAGATATATATACATTCTCCACTCCCTGTGGAGCATTCCTGTCAGGCGTCATTTTTACAAACGCACACTTGCTCATCTAACCACATTAACTTTCGCATCCCACCGGGTACCCATTTAACACCTGGGTGGAGAGTGGCAAATGTAGATCAATGTCTTGCCAAAGGACATTAGTGCAGCGGCAGGACTTGAACCATGGACCTTGTGGTCCACAGTCCGTTGACATATCCACTCGACCACGACACCTCTAGCATCCATGCTTCGTACGAATAGCATGCCCACTGTCAGTTCAAACTGGACGGCTGCCACAGCTCCCATCCATAATTAATTTCCATGAAATCCATGACCAGTTCACAATACAGATAGTCAGATACATGTAGAGGGTGCCATTGTCTAATGGATAGTAACTGGACTATATATCACAAGGTACTGGATTCAAATAACCTTGCCATGGTACTAATGTCCTTTGGAAAGACATTAATCTACATTTGCTACTCTCTACCCAGGTGAAGTAAAAGGGTACCCAATAGGAAGAATATGCACATGATATTGAACACTGACCCTCTTCTCGTCTCTGACTATAAGTCTCTTGCTCTCAACGTCCCTCATGTGTTCATGAGCTGGAAAGAGTTTCCGCAGGAAGAAGATGTTGATCTGATGAGTCCAAAAATTAAACCTTCTAGTCTCTTCATCCATCTCTTCCTCCATCTCCTCAACTAAACAGAAAAGAATAGAAATGAATCGTTGAAGAGAAACAAATCAAAATATCACTATAGCCATACAATTTGAATATACACACAGATAGAAGCTATCAAATGCACAGGAGACAAAAAATGGCCTTCTATAACTTTCTGATCATGTTAATTCTGCATTAGAATCTAAAAATTGTTAGCAACCAATGCTGTTTTATTTTAGTTTAATGCCCAACTTACATGTATCTGAAACAGATAAAATGTACACACTGTTATGAAACAACAAAAGATTGATAAGAATGAATTCTTCTGTTTTGTTCTGAAGTATTTGTCATCACTGTAACTCAACTTCACTTGGAGTGTTAGATTTCTATTGATATCCGTCTCCTTTTAAAACCTTCTATTTCAAATGATTTACCTAACTATTAAAGTATACAGATAATCAAACTTATTTATCAACCTTCAACTCATAGATAAGGTCCCTTTCATAGATCTCAGAAAATTTGTTGATGAAATTATCCAGGCTTGTTTTTAAGTGTAAAGACAGACTACTCAATCTCAATTTAAAAAGTGATTTTGACCCATTGAATATGGTTCCAGTAGGCAACACGTTAATGGTAGCTTTCTTTGCCTCTCTGCACAATCACTCATTTGCCACATATGCAAATTTGCACAAAACAACAGGCACCAATTGACAGAAGATTAGCTTTGAGCAACACAATGGCTTTGCAATAGTACCCATTCCCTGTCTTGATCAGCTTACCCTTAATTAACACCTGTATAGATTAATGATACGCTGGAAACCGTTAAATAATCTTGAAGCCTTTGGTATTTCAATCCCACGATAAGGGGGTGCAATAGCTCAGTTGGTAGAGCAGTGGTCTCTTAATCCAGCGGCCCGGGTTCAAAACCAAGGCTATGCGCTAGTAAGGCATTAATCCTCATTACCAGGTCTCTCGAAGAGGTCCTGAAGCCCTCAGTCCTCTGGTTGCTTACTAACAAGCCTTTTATGCTTTCTTAGCAGTCAAGTAAAATAACCACCACTAAATACAACATGGCACAGGGAGATTATTTGTATGGTATATCAGGGAATAATTTTCCTGGTATCGCATCGCAATTTGCTATGCATTTTTGCATGACTGCTATACAAAATATCTTTTGTGTAGCAGTTTTCTTCCATAGAAATGTACAGAATTTCATTTGAAATATTTATCCATCGGCTGAAAATGCTAATCAAAAAATTTGAGGAAAATTATTCCCTGTATATGGAGAGCTGGACTCCTACCTGGTGGTTCTTGTTGCTGTATCTCTTCAGCACCCAAGGATAACACAGATTGTAATAGATGGGTCTGACTATCACTGCTTAGATTCTCTCCTGCTGGTAATGATACTAGAGACACACCCTTTCCTGCTTCAGTACCTCCATCTGTCAATCAAATCAAATCAAATTAAATCAGACTCAAAGTGAAATCATAAAATTCTGTAAAGTTTCTCAAACAATGCCTTAATGTGTTACAGCTACATGTACATGTACATGTAAGTCTGAAATTGATGGTATGATAAATGTAAACTAGTCTACTGAGATCAACCTCAAAAAGATACAAGCAATATACAAGAATACCCGTTGATTGGTTGAGCACGCCATTGCTCTGAGCCGAGCCAACGGTTGATTGGTTGAGCACCTGTGTGCTTCGGCCAATAGGCCTTATCCGTTATTTTTCTAATTATTGATTGAATTATTTGACCGCCGGTCCACCCGTAGAGTATAAAAAACGATTGCTTACAATATATTTTATCACCTGACGAAGTGTTGTAGCAGCACACGAAACGTCGTGATCTTTTGATTCCTTGTTGACAATACATTGCGAGACAAACGAATGTCGATCACTATAGCGATATTATTTTCAATATACAAGACATTTGATTTAACTTTGGGCAGACCCACAGTATATGGATATTTCTGGAAATTGTATCAATTAAAAGCAGCTACCAGTTATTCACGTATGAATTTGATCTCATAGAGATAACTGCTGCAATAATGTATAACTTCACACTTCATTATTAAGGACTTAATAATAATTGAAACATTTGTATTATAATGGAAAACTTGGTAGGATAAATGTTTAAATCAAACTTCTATGGGAAATTCATATTGAGAATATAATTCTCACCAGATTTACAGGTTTTGATATTGACACCCACTGTGCTGCCCTCTGGAGGCTGTTCAGTCAGCATGCTGTCAGTCACTGCAATAGACCCCTGTACCTGAATAAATTCAAACAGAGAATAAAATGAGTAGGGAGTGGAGCGTGTGCTCTATCATGTGCGGAGTAGCTAGCAACTGAATCCAATGACCAGGGTAAATAACTACAATGTAAAGCGCTTAGAAACATAACATTAACCACTACACAAATGTGACTATTGTTATTATTATTATTATGATTTCTTCAATTCTTAGTTCAAACCATTGCCTGTTTCAAAGACAATGAATGATTGATGGGGTTTTTTCAAAAGCAAATAAAGAAATCTCAAGAAATGACTATTGAGAGGATGAAATGAAAGTAGTATATCACATTCTCGATGTTGCTCAAGGTCATGAATCACAAATTTCTTTTGTGCCCTAAAACTAGTAGTGATATATATTTTAGTATATGAAAGACTGTCAATTCTTTTCAAAAGCATTATCTGTTAGAAAATATTTAATATCCCCAAACATGTGAAAATGAGGCATAAAGTGTTTTCATACCTGTGTTACTTTATGTTACTTTACTTTTTAAACAGTAGAATTCAGCTTTAATAATGTAAGGTAATACTGGCCTAAAAAACAAAGTAGTTTACTATATATATAAAGGGAACCACGACTTAGTGGCCCATCAGTCCGCCTGTCTTTCCATCTGGCCTTACTATCAAGTTACATTCATCTAACCGATATCATCAAAATATGAAAAAAATAGAGAGTAATGACATCAGGCCCATTTACACATCCCAAACCGTTAAGAAAAATTGTTGATTTCATACCGATTTTGGGGTGGGTATTGCGCATTTATGCCCAGCATGCGTTAGCAAGTGAGCAAAAATCAGTATCTTACCAAAGTTTGCTTTTCAACTGCAAAAATCTGTGGAACTCCGTCAGGCGTTTATAAAAGAAAACACACTCCAGAGGTAGATTTTTCAGCATATTTGCATAGCAACTACCGGAAACACTGGCATTGTGAAGAAAAAATTGATGATTTTGGTTGATGTGTAAATTCAGCTACTGTTACGAATATGCAAATGAGATGTTGATTGATATGCGAATTCCAAGATGTTGCTTGAGTTGAGAGTAATAAACGGATCAAAGGTAACCAAATCGTCTTGATTTTCTTTATATATTAATGTAAATGATAGTTGTGGAATGGCCAATGTGAGTTGATTGTCCCGACCTAACAGATTGGGGGCTTGTCTCAAGAGCTAGATATAGTAACATATGCTGTTTTGTTACTTTTCCGATCCGAAATGCGTATTGTTTGGAGTTTGCCTTTTGTCCCATTCATGGGTTTTGGTGTGGTTTTCGCACACATTTAATGTCTGTGGAATGTCTGTGACTGTGCTGTAGTCATGGTAGTGTAGCGTCCATAATAGGGTTAAGCCTACACAGTGCATGATAGCTTGAGTCTTGTCTGGGTATTATGCCCCTTAGATATAGTCTCATTGGTATGAAATTCACTGCACATCTGCTGCGGTTGTCTGGTATTCTGGTCCTGGTTTTGCCTGTTCTTGCATGGCAGTCGTTGAAGGAGTTGGTCGGATTGACTTTTAACTTTGCCTCGGCTTCGTTTCTACTTCTAGGTTAATGGTCTAGATTAGTTGTTTGCATGCAATCTAGTTTGCTACACATCTGATGTAGTGTAGGACTGTGGGTACTGGACTTTCTGGAAATTATTCCATATTTCATGTGTGTTTGTGTGATATTAAGACTAGATCTATACGTGTAAGTGTAAGAGTTGATAAAATCTAACAGAAATTGACTTGAGTTGTGGAGGTGGAGTTTCAATATAACCATCTGCTGCATGGCGACATGTATAGCAATTTCACAGAATTGGTGATAGTTTGATGCTTAATTGATCAATTTTGTTTTGCTGAGTCGGTTGGTCAATTTTTGTTGTTTGATCTGTTGTTGGACTAGTACCTGTACTCTGTGTTGATTCACATTCAACATTTTTGTTGGATTTTCTTTCCAGTCGTCAGGACAATTGACCTACTTTGTGAGACTTGTGTAACTTGCATAGACTAGATCTATACAATGGCTGACTTTGATATTGAACAGTTTTTGAGTCAGGAATTGACCATTGGCCGGTTACGTCAGCTACGAAAGGTTGATTTAACAGCTGTAGGAACAAAGCTATCGGTAAATCTAAATGGTCACAAAAGCAAGGCAGAAATAGTTGATGCAATTACAGCCCATGCAGGACTGAGCGCTGCGACGGCCGCGGCCCGAGTGGAGGCGCCTACACTTAATGATAATGATGGTACTAATAACCAAGAAAAAGCTACCAGTGATGAGGTTGACCTTGATTTAGCTAAAATTGAGCTAGAGGAGAGAAGAGATAGAATAAAGGCTGCTGAGCATGAGAGAGAAATGGAACGAAATAGATTGGAATTTGAGAGAGAAATGGAACGAAAGAGGTTGGAATTTGAAATGATGCGTCATCATGAAATGACTTCTCATGGTAGTCTGGTGAGAGAGACAGGAGGTCAATGGAAGCTGGGTTCTCTGCTAGGGTTAAGCTTGTTCCTAGATATGATGAACATGAGTTAGATTCATTCTTTCTTATGTTTGAGAGGGTTGCCAAGAGAATGGAGTGGCCGGAAAATGAAGGGGCATTGCTCATCCAACAAGTGATTTCTGGTAAAGCTCAGTCGGTTGTTTCTGCACTGAGTTATGAGCAGGCATTTGATTATTGGACAATGAAGGATGCTATTCTTCATTCATTTGAGTTGATTCCAGAAGCCTACCGTCAGAGGTTTCGCAATCTCAGGAGAGAAACTGGAGAGACCTGTGTAGAATTTGCTCATAGAAAAGAGGTTGCCTTCGATCAGTGGATCAGATCTTTGAAAATAGATGCAACATATGATTCCCTTCGAGAGATTATGCTCATTGATGAGCTTAAAAGATGTCTGTCTCAAGAGGTTAGGACATATGTCAATGATAATGTAGTTGCTGATGTGCGAAAGGCTGCCATGTTGGCAGATGGGTATGAATTGACACATAAAGGGAGTAGGTCACCACTTACTAGGCGTTGGAACCCTACCCAGGCTACTAGTAGTTCTAGTTGGAATGGCGACAAATCTAGGTCACCTACTGCTAAGAGGAAGTCCAGTAATACAGGTACTAATCAGGATAGCGGTGAAGGCAGACTTTTCTGTGCATACTGTAAGAAAGAGGGCCACCTTAAGACTCAATGTACAAGACTTAAAGGAAAAAAACTTGAACAAGAAATTACTCAGCCTAGTGGCTTTGTGCGCACTGCGGCGGTTGACATGCAAAAACATGTAATGAATGATCACAATGAAACACAAAGAAGTGATCAAGTAAGAGATGGTGGACATGATGAGGAGATTGATGAAGGATTTCTAGATTTTTTAAGGAGTTGCCTATCACGATTTTAAGGGATACTGCATGGTTCTATGAAGACGTTGCTTATTGCTGATATGTCGTCCTTGGACACACAGAATTTCACAGGCAAGAAAGTTTTGATTCAAGATGTGAATGATGGTTTCAAACCGGTTCAATTATATAACATTGAGCTTAGCAGTGGATTAGTTTCTGGACCAGTGACTGTTGGCTTGATTGCGGAAAGTACCGGGGAATCAGCTTACTTAGCCATGCAGGAAAGATATTTGCATCAATCCTTCAACGAAGAATCTTGAAGAAGACAGAGGAAATTTTATCAGAGTCCCAGGCAGGTTTCAGACCAGGGAGATCAACCATAGACCAACTGTTTACTCTAAGACAAATTGCAGAAAAGCACCTTGAAAAGAACAGAAGTCTGTTTTGCTGTTATATAGACTTCGAGAAGGCATTCGATTCAATATGGCAGGAAGGACTTTGGAAAGCTATGAGATTCTTTGGCTACTCCAATAAGACAATCTGTCTCCTAAAAGCACTATACAAAATCTCAGCTAGTGCAGTCAGGGTAAATGGCGAACTTACAGACTGGTTCCCAACAACTGTGGGTGTACGCCAGGGCTGTGTATTATCACCACAGCTATTCAACATCATCCTAGAGATGGTTATGTTACATGCCACCTATGACACCCCTATTAGAATAAACATTCAAGGCCATCTGATCAACAACCTCCGCTTTGCAGACGACATAGTTCTTCTTGCATGCAACGAAATAGATCTCCAGTCCATTGTAGATTGTGTACAACAGTGGAGCTCAAACTTTGGCCTCAAAATCAATATTGCCAAGACAGAGGTCCAGGTCATCAGTAAACAGCAGCAAGACATTAACATCAGCATAGGTGGAACCAAACTACTACAGGTGGAAAAGTTTGTTTACCTGGGAGGTACCATCACTCAATCAGGAAAATGCACAGAGGACATAGAGAATAGAATTGGAAAAGCCCTGGGTGCTGTTCAAAGTCTTCACAGCATATTGACAGCCAAAGACATTAGAGATGTTACAAAACTTCAACTATATAAGGTACTCATCCTATCCATCCTTATATATGGATCAGAAACATGGACACTGAAAAAAGAAGACGAGAACAGGCTCCTTACCTTCGAAATGATCTGCCTCCGAAAAATCTTGGGGGTAACCAGACTAGACAGAATAAGGAATACAACAATTCGGAAGACTCTAGGACTGGATGAAAGCATTCTGGACAAAATAGCCAAAAGACGGCTACGATTCTTTGGCCACGTTAACAGGATGAGACCATCACGATACCCAAAGATACTCCTAACTTCTGATATCCATGGTGATAGACCCCGGGGCAGACCAGCCAAGAAATGGATAGATTGTGTAAAGGCCGATTGTGCTACTAGATGTCTGGGATCCCTCACAGAAGCAACCAGAACATCACAAGACAGGAAGATCTGGCTTGACGTCATGAAGCAGAAGCCATCACACATCTCCCAGATGGTGCGGAAGGCTTAGGTCAAGGTCAAGGACTGTTGGCATTGTGACTAAGTTGCCTATGAGGGGAATTTCAATGTTGCTCGGCAATGATTTAGCCGGAGGTAAGGTGTTGCCATCACCAGTTGTGTGTAAAATTCC